GTGTTCTGCTCTTGTGAAAAAAAAWAATAAAATGAATAACAAAAAGAAACCAAATCACCACCATACCACGGTGAATAAAAAGCAGTATAACCTTCACAGCATACAGTAGTCCTTCAGTTTGGCCTTGGAAAGACCTTGGATTGCAGCAGTGTGACCAGTATTAAATGCTGGTCAGTGAAGCTGAAGCAATGGTCCACAGCAGAATCCTGTGCGGAAAACATGGCCAGAGAAGAACAACTGACAGACCTGGTGGGTCTCTTAGCAAAAGACTGTGTGAAGCCCTTTAACAAATTTCTTGCATATAATAAGATTGTTGCAAGCAAGAATAAAATGTTTTCTAATTTTGTAGGTAATTGAACAAAATAATACACTTAAATTACAAGAAGTAATTTTACTGTGAACTTTGGTTTGAATTTTAATTCTAACAGTGAGACTAGAGAAGTATTGAAAAGATATCTCCCAGCAACTTCCAGCTCTGTCTTCATGGATATTGTGATTACAATTTAGGCATTCCCACCTTATAATGGAGTTCTGCTAAAATACTGCATGTAGCACTACTTCAGATCTGCTTTTGCAGATGACCTTCCCTAGTAGTTTTTCACAAGTGTCCCCTCATACTGTCATGCTGAAAAATACTACAGACCACTGGAGTTCATKACAGGTCACACACTGGTGTGGTCAGTGTGGATGTGCAGAGATTGGTCATACTGGGACCAGTCATCACACAGTCAACCTCAAGAGAGCTGGGGCTTCCTGAACCTCTCCTGGCCATCCCTATGAATGTTTTCAGTGCAAGCTGTGGCCCATTTAAGATCCATGATAGGGACAGAAATTTTGCTGTAGCTGTTGATGTGAGTAAGCCTTAATTTTAAAACCACTTTTAGACATAGTTCTGTGCTAGTGGCCTGATATCTCAACTGCATATGAACCAGCTCCTTTGATATGACAGTGATTTCACCCTATTGAATGCAAGCCTTAATAATGTTCATACAACAAATGATGGTACACAGGATCACTTTTGGAGTCTGAACAGCAGTGCACTCCAGGCTGGCTCTATCAGGCTTGTAAGCCTGGCAAAACTCGGTGAGTTTCAGTACAGAGACATTCAGTGTGGGCTGCTCCATCTGGGCTTTGATTTTTGCTTCAGCTACTTTCTCTCTATTTTCTAAATGCCTGAACTATCAAGAAAAGTTTGTTTGCATGACAGTGAGAATGGYAACACATTTTGCAGCTTCCCTAAGGTGGCAGAAAAATAAAAAGCTCTTGGCAGCCACTGAGATCTTTAACATACACAAGACATCTTTGGCTGGGATGGGGTATTTATTTAAGCACTATTTATTCTTTGTCACCTGGACTTATGAAACTGCCAGTAAAACACTGTGGAGTTTTCCACCTTTCTTTGCATGTCTTAGAGTGATATTCATTASAGATGCTATTTAGGCTCCCACTCTAATTTGATGTGACAAATGATATGGTTCTTGCTCATGACCTCTTGTTTCTCATATGCTGCCATGTCCAAGCGTAGCAAACCTTCTTCAGCTGAATCCGGTGCCCCTGACAGTGACTGATCTTCTGCAAGCAATGATAATCACACCCATTGCCCCCCATGGGTTCATGTGAGACCTGAACCTCTTGCTCTGACTCAGTGACAAAAGACCAGAAAATCAGCATTTCTGAACCTAAACTGCCAAACTCAGAGATAAGGTTATAGAATGCAGAGGAAGGAAAAAAAAAAAAAAAAAAACGCAGCCCACACTGAGGTAGACACGGTGAGCAGAAAAACAACTTCTCTTTWTGAGAAGAGCTGTTAGAGGGATATCCCCAGGCACCAGAGAACTCCAGCAGAAGATCTGGTCTTGGGACTGGATTCCCATGCACATTCAGAAAACGGTGCTCTCCTTTTCAGACATCAGACACATTTGTATTATGTATAGRACACGAGATGCATCTTTTGTCTTCTGAGGTCTGCCAAGTGGTCTTTCTGCTGAAGTCCGTGAATACATATTTCCTCCATCAAAGAAGAATTCAAAAAAAATATGGAAAACTGGTGGCTGCTCAACCTCACTTCAGGACTTCTGTATGTGCTTCTCAAAATCTATTGACCCTAAAGGTACAGGTAGGATAGTAATTGCCTTTTCTTTTCGTTTTGCCACCTTAAAGACTCCAGCAATGAATGCCAGAGAAAGCTCTGATCAGTTCTACAAGCCTGATGGCCTTCTGTTCTTCTAACATTGATCTTAGTTACTGAAAACTAAAAAGCTTAAGAAAATGTAAAGGCAAGTTGAGGGAGCAATAAGCAAATGCTGGTATATGGACTTTTAGATTTATGGTAGCCATAGATTTTTAAGCTTGTATTGTAGCTATAGAATTTTAAAGCCAAGAGGAGACTTCATAATCTTTACTGTGCATAAAAYAAGGTGGAATGCTACAGTCATCTGTTTGGGTTGAGCTAGACTGTAGGCTTTACAGATTCCAGGCAGCGGAGAATGTGCCATAACCTCAGGGGAACTCTCCAGCATTAAAAATATGCAGCTTATCTGTAGTCTGAACTTGTCTGGCTTGAGCTACAAGCCTTTGAAGTGTTATGCATTTGTATGTTAAATTAAAGAGCCCTCTGCCCTTATATATATTTTTCTCCTGAATTCTCATTTGCAGCTTTAGCTTTTTTTTTTTTTTAGAGGTTTTTTTTTTTTAAACATTTTTTTTACTCTTCTGGGGCATGTAGTTCAGAGTTTTCAAATAGAAGTCCTATTCAATTCAAGGGGACAACACACACTTGTATAGGAGACCCTATACAAGTCTGTTTACAGTCTGTTTACGGTACAGTGTGAGATGAAGGGAAATGGATGCAGAAGTCCCATTAATGCTGAATGTCAGCTTTAATGTTTTCTCTCCAGAGAATGGATTATTCCTAGGTCTTTGCACTGGAGGCCTATATCCTAGCAGTTTGCCATTCTCTGGTATCAATGCTTGAAGTTTTAATAAGCACAGGCTAAGGAAGGTGCTAGGCAACAATACATATTGCAAAACAAATACAGGATAAGCAGTATAAGATTAGATTTTAATACCATCTTAACAACAACACCAGGATCTAGTGGTTACTCTGTGTACTGTGCCACTTTTATAGAGGATGGCATGCTACGCAACAGACACACTACTATGGTTTCCACTTTGAGAAGGGAGATTTTGCAAGCAACCAGAGCAACGTGAGGAGAAAAGATACCAGACAGCAAGATGTCAAGGAAGAAATTCTTTTTGCTGAAAAACACTTCAGTAATCCAAGAAGCTTAGTGGCATGGTCAAAGTGCCCTCTCTTGGATTAATTCTTCATGCTTTCTCTTGAATCCCAGCAGATTGGAGAATTACAGCAGAGATATTGGCACAGCTTGTTGAAGATTACATTTCCTTTCAGGTCTCAATGCCTTCAGCTTCACTTGCTCCCAGGGAATCACAAACATGTGATTAACAGATCTAATTAGRCTTCAGAATTGTTGTCTGTGTGTATTGAGAGGCTAAAATGAGCCCTGAATGTCTTTGAAAAGAGTCATCTTCTCAATGAGAAATTTGTGTGGAACCTCCCATGTGTGGAGGTTCCAAATCAACCAAAAAAAGAAAGCAAAAAATGTGAAATAATTAAAAAAAAAAAACTCCCCAAAGATGCAAAGTCAGCCTGCCATTTGGGAATCACAAGCTAAGCAGCAGAAGAGAAAAGCTGCCCAAATTAGAATCGGACCATCAAACCCAAATGTTTTGCAGTGGGGAATAGAAAAGGAGAGGCAAAAGTTGAAGAGTTTGACTTTAGAATTTTTCCTCCCTTGTAGGTGGCTATGATGATGGCATGGAAGGATTCAGTTTGTAAGACAGGCTGTAAGAAAGTTGCTACAGCCTAAGTCCCATGGAAAGGAAAAATGTCCCAAAGCAAAGGAAAATGCTTGAGTATATGTGTATCCCACCGCTAACATTGCTGTTAGACCACACTGTATTAGGCAAGCCTCACATGGGCAGGATGGTAGTACATATCAAACAGGGAAGGAGAGATGGGGAAATTAGACCTTGAACAGACATGCTTAAGCACAGACCATGCATATGAACAGGAACAAATCCCCAGTCCTCCCAATGGCTCTGATATTGTCAACTTTGCTACACCCTCTGTCTGACCTACCACTAGCTTCAGAAGCTATTTCTGAGTCTCCTACAATGCTGCAAACTTTCTCCAAAAGACAAAAAAGGAAGCAGGTGCAAAGTGCACCGTGCATGTCCTGCTCCCTCATCTCTGATTCATAAAGGTCAGAGAGAGACTTAGAGAAGTGCAAAAATCAATACAGGCTGGGAACATCTGGAGTTGTGTCCTTGTCACCCAAGTATCCTTGTCACTTCAAGCATTAATTCAAGATCTCTTACATTTCTCCTAGTGTTGATCCATCTTATGAAGAGAAAGAGACATAATGACCCATGTATCAGATTTTCAAACTCTTTTTCTCTTTTTCTCTTCCTCCAAACCTTAGAAGCAAATGTTCACTTCCCAGCAGGGATGACTCAGTCCTTCATTTCCAAAAGTACTTTTTTTTCTTTGTCTAAACACTTCTATGAATCTCAGTCTACACCTACTTCAASTTCAGGCTCAAGCATCGACCAATAACACAAATAGTACATATTATTGCTCTATTCCATGATGCATTCACCTCACTCTGACTTCTCAGATTAGATACTGTCCCCTTCCTCAGACTTAATTTCCTGGCTTTAACATTTCCTATGCAACTATAAATAAGATTTAGAGTTGCCTCAAATATTTTTTGAAACCTAAACACCACCATTCAACATTAGTGTCATAAAGATAGCCAGAGGAATCACCTTGCATCAGAAAGGAATCTTTAGAAGTCTACAGAATGAGCAGACCAAACTTTTCCACCTGAAACAAATTTTGCTCATGCAGTTGATTGATATGGAGTAAAGCCATCTCAGCTGCTTCAAGAGGACTGACACCTGGAATAGGTAATTACCTATTCTTTCTGTGCATCATGAAACGATGAAAAATAGTCTCTGATCTCTTCAGGGCCTCCGCAGCAGACTTCAGGGGGAGGATTTTCTAGTGGATTGCCCTCAAAGTTGCACGAGCAGTAATTGTACGCCCAGTCCAGGTTCACCAGGTCACCAAAATTTGCTGGCAGAGACCGGAGATGGTTGTTTCCCAGCCAAAGTGTGTGCAGATTCCTTAACATGCAGACATYCTCCGGCAGTTTTTCCAGCGAGTTGAACAGCAATAGCAACGTTTCCAGTTTCTCTAGATGCCGAATATCGGAGGGGATTGTGTCTATTTTGTTGTCACTGAGATCCAGAAAGGTGAGGCTCCTCAGATGACAGACTGAAGCAGGCAGCTCAGTGAGACTGTTGTTGGCCAAGTGGAGGCTGTGCAGCCTTTGCAACGCCCCCATTTCTAGGGGCAGGGAGGTCAGGCTGTTATTGCTGAGAGTGAGCCTCTCCAAGTGAGTCAGTGTGCCAATTTCAGCAGGGATTTTCTTCAAGTTGTTGGAGTCCATGTAAAGGAGGGTTAGGTTCCTCAGGCGGCTGATCTCACAGGGCAGCAGCTCCATGCGGTACCTCAGGCAGCTCTCCCGTTCAGGACTCATATCCAGCACTTGCAGTTGGTCCATGCCGAAGAGCTGTGTGGGGACCAACATCAGCTCTCTGCCTGAAATCTTGAGTTTCTTCTTCCCTTCATACTTTGGGTCATGCTCTATGAGGCACCTCCACAGTGGATCAGGGCCTATAGAGGCACATCTTAAGGAGGCAGCTGCATTCATTCTTCCTCCAGAAATGTGGCCTGTTGAACAGAGCTCTCAGCAGTCACTTGCAAAGCGCTGCACTCCTCTGTGTGCAATCCTCCAAGGTTCTTCACCTTCTGTGAGCTTTTCTTGGCCAGGCACATYAACAGCACACATACACAGTGTGTAGGTTGCTCAGATACATACCATTGAGCAAACATTTGCCATTCTCACCTGATCAGGCGTTCCCCTCTTGGCACTGCAGCATACACAAACTCAGTTCCCTGCTTCTTTGGGCTGCACTCCTTGCTTACTTCAGTGGGCTGTTGGTATATCTATCTATGCTTTGAAAGTGAAACAGCACTTTTCTGCCTATGCTTTCCAGCAGTGTGCTCAAATCTTCTTTGTGTATAGCTCAGAGTACAACTACCAGTGCACGCTGGTAGTTGTGCCCAGAGTGCACCTGTTTGAGAAACTTGGTGGTCTCTGCATGTTGAACCACCCCAGGAGACTGCATTGGAAGCAGCCGGGTTACGTAGATGAAGCACATGGTAGGTGGCTCAAGAAAGAGAAAGAAATCTAGAAAGGGGCTTGGAATCTGAGAACCAGGAACAAGTCCAGCTTTTAAGCCATTTTATGCTTTTAACATTAAGCAAACACAATAAAGAATCAGTTTTGAAATCTGGAAGTTCTTCTTCCTCTGGCTAAGTTTATGAACCTCTGCACCATGCAATTATGGTCTTTCTTGTGGTAGTCTGGCTCTGGTATGTAAAAAAGCACATTTTTATTCCTCACTGGAATAGGTTTAGGAGGAGACATGAAAAGTGCCATACCTATCCCAAGCTATCCAGCATAGTGTGCTATGCAGACAGCAGTACATTTTCCTGCAGGGAGAAAACTGTAGATTGTAGGTGTAGCTTCAGACTAAGAAACTCACCTCTTTTACTTCACACTCTAATACTTACGGCATTCAAATAAAAGACATTTAGGACAATCATTTAAAATTATTTTCAAAGAAAGGGACCTTCCTGCACACTGCTSGAGGCAAAAGACAGCATATGGCAGGTACAATCTAAGCAGATTTATCAGGTCAGATTTCTCAAAGGGGAGGACACTTCTGCCTTCCTAGCCAGTTTAACTCTCCTTTCCCCAGCCCACGGCTGTGCTGAGTTTGCAGGGGAGCCTAAGTCTCAGCACCAAGGAATACAAATACACAGCTGGGCAGTAAATGTTAGGAGCACTCAGTCCAGAAAAAGCTGATCGGAGGATTTCAGGATCATAGTTCAACTGTCTGGGCTTGTGCTTTATTTACTCCTGATCTTTATTGGCTTTAGTCCTGAAAAACAGACTTTCAGAGCTGCTGCACACTGGCTTCCACTCTTCATTTGGATTGGGAGCACAAAACCTCTAACCCTTTTGAAATCATTCCCAGAATTTCTCTCAGATTCATCCTCACCATCTGTAAGAGAAAACAGCAACACTTGCCTGTTGCCCAGCAGTATCGTGAGGCTCTTGGATGCTGCTGTGCTTCCTGCCAGGACCTGGCACGAGGGACCAAGTTGACATTATCAAACCTGAGTAAGCAATGGTGTGCATGGATCCTGGAAACACTGACAGTTTTCTCTGTTCCTCAGGATCATTTATGTCACCACCAACACACCAAAGTGTTCTGAAGGCAGCGCTGGCTTCATCAAGAAAAGGTAGAGATTTTACATGAAAATTCACAGGATTTAAGAATGTCTATTTATTGTTCTCAAGAATGGGCATAATGACTTGGGAGGGAAAAAAAAAAAAAAAAAACCCATACCTGAGATCAATAGAACAGCCAAGGAAAAGTGAGATTTTCAATCACAAGGATCAGTTTCTGACCAGAAATGACAGATGTCACAATTCACTATAAAAATAGCTCAAACTCAGCTCCCGTTCAGAAAGCTCTGAAAAGTAATTGCAATAAGAGCCACTTCAGATTTCCATGACAGCCAACCCCCAAGTACTTAAGGGGAAAAACATATTTCTTAAAATTTACATGTCCAATGAAGTAAATTGAATTCTTGTGTCTACCCTCTGCTTACAAGCTTCTCTCTATAATCAGAACCCGAGCCTTTCAGACAGGACATCACACTGAGCCAAAGCCATGATTGGTAACAGCTTACTCTGATGTTGGGCACTAYTATCCCTGTGCACTTTTTCACATCTGGTGTTTGATCCTGAACTTTCCTTTGCCAAAGTAGCAGGTTCTTTTCTCCTCTGACTTGCAGGGCATTTTTTGCCCTGAGGCTGAGTGCTTCCTCCTAAGGAGATTTAGAACATGATTAATATCCCATTGTCATTTTTTTCCCTTGTGCATTCTCTATAACCTCCATGATCCAAAATGAAAAAATAACAACACAGGGCCCATATTTTCAGTGCACAATATCGCTAAAGACCCAGCAACATGTTCTTATTCTCAGTTCAGGCTAACTCCAACTCAAAGATTGCCAGAGCAAGGCTGAATCAAGCTATTCAAGTGATTCARTGTTTTATCTCTTACAATGAAAATCTGCTTTGTAAAGCAACTCTGCAACTATGGTGCACAAAATTAGCTTTTTTCTAATCAATTGTTCCTATTTCACAGGTCAGGCATCAAAAATCCATGTTTGTAACTTCTAGGTTTCAATCAGACCTGTCAAACTAAGTAGGCTCCCTTTTCTTAGTTCACTTCACCTGCAAAAAGGGGCATTGAAAGTAAAATCCAAGCTCTTACAGATCCTGTGTAGCTCCCTGGAGGCTTCAGGCAGTTACCAAACTGGCAACATGCATTTGGACATGGTAATATGGTCAAGGTTCATGTCATAACCTTGTCCTTCTTCTGAGCTGTGTGGCTGCCATTCCCACTACACTAAACATCTCTTCATCTTTAGCGTGTTTATCCCCACACCAGCATAGCGGGAAGCTAAATGAGCTATGATGAGACAAATACACCTACCAGTAGGTTCCCATCCTGCTCAGTGAAGCTCCAGTTAATTCAAGAAAGGCAGTTCAGAGATTCAGCTGACTCCTTTAGGACTACCTCAACCATCTCCCAGCTCCACAACTTACATGGTAGCCACAACCTGACAGTGACTCCTACTATAGGATGGAATATAGGATTGATGACCTGGACACAGACATCTCATGGCATTCAAGATGCTATTTCATCTTCCTTGGAACATTTGCTGCCATTCCAGCCCTAGATCCTAACACTGTAGGTTCCCATCCCGTCAGTGTTTCTGGCACTCAGCACACTCTCAAAGAGTTACCCAGTCACGACTAGACAGCAAGTCCTGGCCCTTTCTACCTTAAAAGACTGAGCCATCCGTAAATTCTCTCTGCAGAGATTTTTGTGCCCAGCATCTCAGAGCAGTGCTCATCTCCCAGCCAATTTGGTGATAAGAACACAGAGCCTGGGGTTAGCTGCTGCTGCAACATTTTTTACTGCAGCTGCAACACACATTTGTTTTACTTCTGAACAGAGCAGTCTTGCTGTGACTGCACATCTCCAAATAAACAGGCAGAACAGAGTTCAACCTGACAGAGTTTAGTTCTCCCATATTAATAACAAGAAAAGCTAASAGATCAGTAAAACAGCATCCAAAGCTGTAATGAAAAGAGCTATTCACAAATGGCAAAGAAGAAAAATAATCCATTCCCAGCTGCATCTTCCATGAGGCTAATTCAGTTTAAAACACAAATGTTTATCTTTAAATAATTTAACACAAAAAATATTTTCCTCAAATGATTCTTTTGCATTTTTATTGATAGGAGAAAAAAAATAAGGAATAATGGTCTGTTTGCTACAACTGCAATAATTTCCGCACTTAATTAAAAAAGAGAACTGTGACACCATAAAACTCATACATCATTAGCACCTTTGTAATTTGTAAATAATATTTTGTCTCATTCCTTAAGGCAATTTTAACATCATCTCTTCTCTTATCACAGGGACAGCCAGGAAAATCCAGCAACAAACAGCAATGGATTCRTGGGGTTAACTTAAGAGTCAACTAATAAATTCTTCATTGCAGTGAACTCTTCTGCACTAGATGCATCACTCTGGTAGACCTCAAGGTACTTTACAAAAAAAAGCAAGAGGAAGCATGAGCCCCGTATTGCAAAGGCAGGAGTAATGAGATGCAAAAGCCACATTCTCTTTATAAAAGGGTTGTTATAGGGGAAAGCTGTGAACCAAATCTCTGCCCTGATCCATCACCTCCTGTGGCAGATTGCAAGGTGTTGGACAGGTAATACATGGCTATCTGCCACATAAGCCTCCTTCTACCATATCTAATCACCTGCACAGGCACAAAAGCATTTTCTGGAGAGCAGCTTCTGGCAATGCCCAGGACTCTACTGGTAGGTTTAGTCTCTGTCCAGACGGCAGATCTAATTTAGAAAGCAGTCTTGGGCTCCCTTTCCAAAGACTACAAATACCTGCACACAGACTAAAGCAGAAAGCACTGCAGCCTGTGGTGCCTTGGTTCATAGGGCAGTAGGCCTACAAATACACATTCCTTTCTTACCTTTTTAAGCCTTGCCACATAAGGTTCACTTCTATAAGATGTGATGGCAATACAAAAGTCCCTTTGATGGCTATAATGCTATTGAAAGAGCAGCTTTTAGTACCAGTCCTGATCTGGGTTTGCAGCATGTTAAAAAAAAAAAAAAAAAAAAAGTTAAAAAAAAAAAAAGGTTAAAAATCAGTTTTAAGGAAAAGCAGGGAAATTGTATCTACTGAAATCAGAGCACAGAGACAATCAAGGGTGCCCTCCAGAAGAGACTGGATGAGTCCTCTGATATACTTGGGTATATGTCACAGCAAAGGCAATTAAGCAGTGCTGGGTTTTTGGGGGGAGGCGGAAAAGTTGCAGATTTCTAGTCTGCATTTTGCTCGCTGAGATCTTTTAATTACTATTAAAATTTTAATTAAAAAAAATTAAATATTACTTTCATTCCTCATTAAAATGATGGCTTGTGCTACCACATGTCTTGTTGTTGGAAGGGGTAGGAAATACGGTCTACATTACCACTAGAAGGATGAAATCTCTTTAGATGTCACTTGGAAGTTAAATATAATAAGATAATCATTTTTGCCCAATACTAGCAAATTTGACCATGAAACAGTACAGTAGCAGTACAGAAGCAGATATAGCATTGAGAGTTACTTGCAAGCAGTAGGCTTTTCACTTTATATCTTCAGTTTGATTGGTCTTTCCACAGCAAGATGCACAGGAAAAATCAAAGCAGACAGTTTATTTGCATAGGAAATAGCACCATTGAGATCTGCATAGGAAACACCTTCCTTAACCTTGACACGAGAATATCTGTTTAATTTTATTTTTCAGTAAAGTGGAGGACCCTGTTATCTGCTGCAGGGTGTGAGGAAACTCCAAGGCAGGCAAATGGTTAGCTTGGGCTTTAGCCAGCAGGTCTAGTTCTGGGATGTTATAGACAGCTGTGACTTCTGCTCAGTTTAGCCAGCTTGCGGGCACTGTGCCATGTGCTGAATCTGCCAACAAGGCAGTGTGTCTCACTTCTGTGACCTGATGAGATTTCTAAACACAGCCAGCACTTGGTTTCTTTATCAATTTCACTATTTCAGTCTCCCAATACAAACTACTTAGCGCAGAACAGCCTCAAAAATGCAGGCAACTTGCTGGTACATATGTCCCAGGCCGGGTCACCTCTAAGATCTATCCCTTGCTGGGCATGTCTCAGCCAGATGTTTAGACTAACAAATGACCTACTGTGAAGTTCTTCTCAGGYTTCATCTCCTTTTAATTTCCTATTGCACTTCTTTGTTGATTTTAGCTGGGGAAAGGACCCATTTCTGACTTTTTGCTTCCAGTCTCCAGCATAATTTCTCTTGACCCACTGGGTTTCTAAATGGCTCTTTGCTACAAATCATTTCATGGGCAATCAACACTCTCCTAGACCAACCTACAACATCTCACGTAACCTCTAAAATACAGCATTGCCAAGTTATGGTCCTGGCGGATTCTCCTGTATAGTGAAGTTGGGTCTTACTTGTGTTCCTGTGGTTTTTAAGGCCAGTAGACTTTCTATGCTTTACTGGTTGGTCTCCTTGGGTGAAGCCAAGTCAGATGAAAATGGAGCTGTCTTTGTACTGATAATGAAAAGGGGATTCAGTATCCTTGAGCCAACAGGGGCAACCTGTGGCTTTTTGCAGAGGTATCTCCTTGAGAGCAAGGCGATAAACCCAGGCACTTAGGAACAAACCTTCTGTCTTCTGAAGTTCTTGCAAGGGGAAGAGTGAGAAGATTTAAATTGTCTCTGTGGTCTCCTCAGGCCTTACTGTCAGATCCATCATAGTCCCATAAAAAGTGGCTGCTATATGGTTCAACCTTATGTGCTTTATAAGCAGAAGAACATTAACAGGGCTGCTGTGGGAAACATGCATTGCCTGTCCATATGACTGTCCATTCAGAGCTGAATGCCTTGRAGACCTCTTCCTCAATGTGGCCTTGCCTGCCATACCTCCACTGCAACAAACTGCCGTTAGCATCAACAATCCTTCAGTCAGCCTGTGTCATACAGCTAATAATGCCCTGCGTTGCATATGGCTGGACTGAAGTTTTAATAAAAGCATTAACCAGATAAAAGGAAAAAAAAAAAAAAAAAAAAAAAAGAAAAAAAAAAGGCACCACAATGATTCTGCATAAGCAGCTCTAGGATGCATTGACATCTCATGCTCTTCAAAAGAAAAACATTTTTTTTTTATGCTTTAATATGCCCTGATGTTAGAGAAAACAAAAACAAAGCTACATGTCACATCAAAGATAATAATAATAATAATAAAAATAATTTGACCGACCGGCAGCATTTGTTGGCTTTAATTGCCTAAAAGACCTCCCGAGGAAGACGAAGATATCTGACAGCTCTTAGCAGGCTTGTTGAATTCAAGTTTTAAAAACAAGTCTGGGGAGACAGCCCACACTAGGGCCCTTTGACATTGCCAGGCCTGGCAGCAAGACTTGCATAGTAGGCACACTGAGAAGGGTCACACTGTCCATTGGCTCCTGGAGGTCCCTGTGGGCCCATGAGACCAGGCAACCCAGCTTCGCCTTGAGGGCCAGGTRGTCCTGGCATCCCATCTTTGGCATAGCCAGGCTCCCCTGGGAGGCCTAGAACAAAAGCAAAACACCCTTGGTTAGTGGCATCCTATGAGGCTGAGTCCTACAGTGACATAGGAGCTAGGGCTGCAGCCACACTAGGACATCAGCTTCCACATGTTTGGGTCTGGCCTGCATCTATCTACAAGCATGTGGCAAGCATAGCTCCTCTGAAAGAAAGTCCTCCACCCCATAGGGAACCCTTGGGTTGCACAACTCCCCTACAGGCACTGATCCCCTGGCATTCTGTTCTTGGAGCTGTGCCAACTACTGATGCCAACTGGTCAACTACTGATGTGTAGTTTTAGCARAGAGGATGGGGGCATGGTGAAGGTTGAGGCAAAAGCCAACTGTGGGAGACAAGTGGTGGGACCAACATTGTTTTAAGGTATTGCAGGGCCTGTATGCCAAATGCAGCCCATGGAGTTATTGTTTTCCTGTACAATCCTCTCATATAGTCTGGGGAAACAAAAGTGGCCAGATGAGATATGCATGATACACATCTTCCTTTTGGGCTGGTAGCTAGAGCAATTATGTATATTATATTTTATTTACATTATCCTGACAGTCTATCTAACATACCTTTGTCCCTGTAACTGTTCTGAGTGATAAGWGATTTGTGGAGCTTTCTAAATAAACACACCTGGAATTCCCGGAGGACCTATTTCACCTCGTTGACCAACACCAGTATCTCCCTTCTCACCCTTCGCTCCTCTTTCTCCTGTAGAAAGGGGGAGAAGAAAAAACAATGAATTGACAACCATGATCTACATAACTAAATGATATTACAACAGATCTTCTATCCACACAGAAGTTAATATTACTGAATGGGGGGGGAGGGGGAAGAGTTCTTAATAGTGCTCACACCTCTGCGATTGGTGCGATAGGTGCGATAGGACAAAAGCAGGGATGAAGATATGCACCAATTGTGGCTGAAGGATGAACACACTCTACAATTACTGGTCACATTCACAATCTCTCTGATTGAAACAAACTGCTACTTACAACACACAGGTTTTGAGCACCACTCAAACATTACAAACAGACAGCAAAGCTGCTAGTCCAGCTCATTGTTTACACCACTGAAATATCTGAGTAAAGTCTACCCACAGCAAAATGAAATGGTGACAATGACTTACACCTTAGATATTCCAGTATCTAGGAAACTATGAGGTCATTGTGTTCAAAAAAAAAAAAAAAAAAAAAAAARATTTTTCAAAAACAATGATTTTTAGATACAAAAGTGGAAAAAAAACAAAAGCAATTAAAAGTATGATTTTTTTCCTTTAAAAATACGCAGAACTATATCCTTTTCAGTCTCTTCCATTTCTCAGAGTTTCCAGCAGAACTGCTGTAGCTCAACATGCTATTTCTGCCACTCAGTGTCAGCACTGAAGTATAGGAGGTAGACACATCGCATCAGATTTTCTAAATAACTACAGTTCACTCACCTTTGGGACCAATCGGTCCAGGTGGCCCTTCAGACCCAGTCTGTCCAGGTCGGCCAGGCTCTCCTGGAGGACCAGCTCTTCCTGGGAGTCCTTCCTTTCCAGGAGGACCTGGAGGTCCTGGTCTACCATGGGATGCTTTTACATGTGCAGGCTGCATTTCAGCCAAGAGATAGGCTAACTTTGCTGTGAAGAAAGAGAAATTGCTTTTTTGATAGTTTGGATTAGAAAGGCAGTGCACAGAGAGCCAAAACTACTAGCCCAGTAAATCCTATGTATTTTCAAAGACCAGATTTTCAGGGCCACCTATTCTGTTATCCAGACACGGTCCTTCACCGTAACTCATCAATACATCAACTTTCTCTTTTCTACTTCAATCTGTATGTCCCAGTAGTTTAAAACATCTTCTGAATATCATCCTTAGCCCTACACATTTCTCTCATCCTGTTGTCCATGACATCAGAAGTTTTTGTTTATTTTGTTTTTTTTTTTTTTCCTTTTATTTGTATAGGCAGTGGCTGGATGTCTGTAGAACTCAATCCACTCTGCTTTGAAAGGAGACATTTATTTTCAGCACTTCTGCTACACACAACAAATTCTATGGGAAGAGAAATTTTTTTTCTTTTCTCTTCTGGGTTGTTGCACACGTGAAGTCAAACCCAATGTACTCATCTCTGACTGTAAATTGAGAACCAGTAATTGAAGCAGCTCCATGTCAGCATATTCTCTCACTTCCATTCAGGCACACTATTTGCTGCTTCCAGATTCAAACAGAGAGGAGTACAGAGAGCTTTAAAACACACAGAGAACCACAAAAAATATCCTACAAAAGGGAGGGAAAAGAGTTTCCTATGTCCTATTCACTGATCCAATATCTTGGTAAATTTCAGGAATTGTTCCATTTCACCAYGATTTTAGCATGTAGGCAAGTGTCCATGGACATATTTCAACTGCCCCAAGAGCTACGTGAAGAGATGGCAGCATACAACTGTTCATTGTAGATATGGTCAACAGTGGTCCTCAGTTCACATACTTTGAGTGAAATAGCAGCTTACATCCCTTCTCCCTGGTACAGATGTGTATGGATATTGCAGAACTATTTCTCCCCCAGCCAGGACCAAACAAGCACATTTACCAGAGTCCACAGTTCTTCTGTGGGTTTTTAATCTGTTTTCTCTTTCAGAGCTCCCTCTGTTTTAACTTGCAGCTTCTCTTCTCCTACTATCCCTACCCAGGCACCTTCACTAACGATTCTGCAAATAAGCTATTTCAGTGTAGTTRGCACAGGCAACATCTTTGGCCTGATGAAGAGGCAAAGTGCCTGTGCTATTGCTAACAACTTTAAGCATGGGGAAGGCTAAAACTTGCAAAATAYGTTTTATTTTACCCATCTCCTCTTTCCAAGCAGACCTATCTCTACGTTGCTTTCCACAAGCAGGAGAAGTTGAAGTGCTAATTACACAACCAGAACTACAGTAATATTTGTTACAGTCTCAGATTGATCTATCAGATTCTCAGAGCAAATTGCTTACCATCTAGCTGCTTTGCTAACTCCTCTTGGATTAGCCTCCTCAAAGTCTCCAGAGATGGCGGTTCCCCCTGGAGAGTAATAATCACAGTAATAACAAAACACAGTAATCACAGTCCTTGGAGCAAATGAAGCTTACAATGAAGGGCTTAGTGGGTGGCATTCCTTCACCTACTTGTACCCAGGGCTGCACGGACTGCCTGAAAGAAGGGAGAAGTGTAAAGGAACTCAAAATATGCAAAACTGCTACCCTTCCAGCACGCAGGGTCAACAAAATCCAGCTTGCTCACACAATACYCAATCCTCCAACTAAATAAAAGTTCCAGCCTGCTTTCAGGATACTGAAGGGAGTCAGGGAGCTTGAGGATTCATCTTTTACATGGCTCAATGATATACATGAATGAGTCAATACTCCGTCAGATATATGATATATGTGAGTGAATCAATACTCTGCCTGTCGTAGACCCCCTACCCAACCGCCCCAGGAAAAACATCCTTCATGTCCCTTTCTCAGCTCTTCTGTGCAATAATGCTGTTGAACTGCTGTAATATTCCATCAACATTCAATGCTATGTGAGCAACAGCTCTGGATGTTCCAACTGAAAAACTGATGAAAATAAACTTGACAGTCTGGGATATTTTGGTTTGGGACTTTCTGGGAAAACAAAAAATGGATTTAGAGCAAGCAAACTCCTTTGGATAACTTAAAGAAAAAAGTAGCTGTATTTTAAAATGCATCCATTTTGAGATAACAAGCTCAAACATTTTCCTTCAGAAATTGTGAAGATGTTTCATATAAAATATACTTTCCTTTTTTTGGCTAAAATTAATCTTTGAATTTGCAACAATTTTGAAAATACTTTCAATATTCTTCTCAGATCAAATCATCCATATGAAAATGTTTAGTTTCCTTCACTCCTTTTAATGCACAAAGATGCAGCACGAGTACTGTCTACAGAAAGCCTGTGAGGTCTTCAGAATCAGAAATTATTCTTCATTAAGAACAGGAAATTTTACTAAATAGCTAAAAGACATTCCACTTTTAACATATTTTATATAATACTGCTGCTAAATACAGAGATTGTCCCTTTCCTGCCTTTTTCCAAACAGACATTTTGCAGGATAAAATGATGTTTACTGGTAACAAAGAAATTGTCACTGCTACTAGCCATTTGTGAGAGCTCTTAATGAATATTCTAAAAAATAAATATGATCGGAGCAGTCTCTGAAGGCTTAAAAAAGGTATCATTTGAAGCTTTAACCCTWTTAGTTGCATTATGTCTCCATATTCATCAAGGATTTCATCAAATCTGGTGTTTGGAAATACAGAAAATGTCTAAAATATATCCAACTTTACATCAGAGATTATTCTACTGTTTTGTATATCCCCCTAGGGTAATCTCAAAAGACAAAAATCATCTTCAAAATGGTTATATTGGTTTCACTGATCTAAGTAGTAATTCTCATTCTTTTACATACATAGCCCTCAGTCACTCTCAATGGCTACATTGTTTCCTGTAAGAAAAAAAAAATGAAAAAAAAAAAAAAAGAATATTGAACTAAAATAGCTTTTCATGAATTCTGATGATCTGACTCCAGGATTTCCAGGAATAAACTGGTGACCTTTCCACAGCTCAGCACTCTGTCTCTCATAACAACTAGAATGAGAGGTAGAGGAAAGAAATGTGGAGATACAAACGGCTATGCATTAACACACATATAGAGAGAAGCTATTTCAGGAGTAAGGGACTGGAAGCCTTTGCTACTGGTCTGAATTGCTCAGCCCTACTGAAGTTCAATCCAACGCTGCACACAGAASTCATTAACCAGACTACTACAGGGAATGCTACCTGTGCAGCAGCAGTTTTATGCTGGAAGAATTCTTCCTTTTATAACTCTAATTAAAATTTATAAATAACATTCATCTTGCAAAACACTACAGAAACTGCAATAAGTCAGTCATTTGAGATCCTAGTCATGTGCTGCAGCAGAAAGCTGCTGCAGTAGCTACATACATTCAAATAAAGTTCCTGTAGCAAGACCTGCCCCACACTGTTCTTTCTCCAATAGCACATCCCCTAAAACATGCTGTAGTTCTTCTTTTTAAAATATAAACAGATAAATAGCAGACAAAAACACTTCCACCCTGCAGAGACCATTGCAAGGGCACGTTACAATCAGTCCACAGTCTTTTCTTAGGTATTTTACTGATCACACACCGTGACAGCAATATTACTGGCAAGAACTCTTATCTGCCAGTCTTACCCGGGGTCCAGGAAATCCTGGCTGTCCTGGGGGACCTGGAGGTCCCACTTGTCCATTGTCTCCTGGAGGTCCATGAGGACCCATCAGTCCCGGATGGCCTTTGTGACCAGGTATTCCTGGATCACCTGGAGGGCCCTTTTCTCCTGGAGAGCCTTTTTCACCCTTAATGCCAGGCTGTCCCTAAGACAAAAAGGCCAGCGTTACCGCCACAAAACAAAAGAGAAACTTCAGATTTCCAAGCACAGCAAAACACAAATAGCTGAGTTGACAAAGTTATGGAATACAACATCTGGTGCATTACAAATGATCTACAAATTATTACTGACGCAGGACAATTAAAGAGATGACTGGGAGGATGGGGAAGCATGGCAGATCCCTACAGGCCACACTTGACTCTTGAATGACCCCTTCCCCTCATCTTTGATCCAAAATACCTCTCTCAATTTCAGAGTAACAAAGAAGGCTAATGATGCTCTCCTACCTACCCTCTCTCCTCTGGAGCCAGTTTCGCCTGGTTTCCCTGGTACGCCCTGCAACAAAACAAGGGTGAGCATACAAGTACTATCCACAGTTTTGCAATGATTCCTGTGACCTGGGAAAAATAATTTCCTTTTTATCCTCCAGATGTCTGAGAGCTCTCTGACTTCGCTCAAGTATCAGCTATTTAAGAAAAAAACAGTTTGCTGTAACCCAGGTAGAATACACGACGTTTTTCCTGAGACCGCAGTCCTGCTTTGAAACAAGTGGAAGTTATCTTACCTCTTTTCCTGGAGGACCCTTCTCTCCTGGTTCTCCCTGAGAGATATAAAGAGTGAATTTAGCATAACATTGCAAGGAGTGAGACGTTAGACACTACCTAATAAGCCTGAATTTCAAATTCTGTCTGGGGCAAAAGTGTTCTGTTCCATGGCAGTGGGTTTAGGCTATTTATTCTTAGACTATTGATATAGGTTATCTTCTGGAAAGGCAGCTACTACTATTTAAAACGCATTTTCAGTAAAACTGCATATATCATGTAAATGTTTCTAAATGAAAGGAAGCAGTTAGTCATCTCTACAGAACCAGCTGAGATCAGGATATACGTTTCATTGAAAATGTGTTTCTATTTTAAGTACAAATTGTTCCTTTTTCTTAAAGGTGTCTCACAAAGTTGCCTAAACTTTACTTTGGCTGATTTACTAAATGCTGTCAGTCTTTTTTTCACCTCAATCAGTGCCAAGATTATAGACATAGCAGTTTAAAAATGTAACAGGAGGGTATTACAGCCAAGATAATGGATGTAGCCCCTGTTACAAAACAACTTTCAGCCTGACAGATTGCATGTTTTCCAAGTACCTCAAATTTCCTAAATTTAAGCAAGCACGCTATTATTTTTTTCTATAACCTGCCCTTATAAATGGACAATAACTACAATCTTTGTATTTTGGCATTTCAAGAGAAAAAATCTATGACTGTAATCCTGAAGCACTGCACTGGAAAAGCAAAGCAAGTATTAAATTAGAAATTGCTAAAAYTCTCATGACTTTCCTAAAAATGAATGAAAATATTTATTTTTAGAATCCATATACAGCTCCCCACACGTGATCATGTCTCGAATGTGGAGGTGATATTTTTCCTGTATATAACAAATTTCACAGGGGTATCCTACATCCACCTGTGCCCTATGAAAGATACRCATCCACCTACGTTCTGGCCATGGGATCAGACAGCAGCAGACTTACTCAAGTATTCCATAGGGCTATGTCATGTTTAAATGGCTACCATCTTTGCTGCTTTAATTTAATTTCAAAAAAAATATATTTCTTTCTGCTGTTTCCACTACGAAACTCCCTAATTTCTAATTTCTCTCTCTCTCTCACACACACACATAAAGAATAAGCTTTTCTAAATTCACATGAAAATGTTTATATCTGATCATCTTAAATCACAACAGGACCAGAAAGAAAAACATTTACCTAGTATTCACCTTTTCCTGCTTCCTTGTTAAATGCAACATATTCTGCTAATCCTAAAATGGTCCAAGATACTGGATTTCAAGGCTGTGATATTTTCAGGTGTACTTTTTCTGGATTAATTTGGGTGATATATGAGTATTTTAATTGCAATGTACTTATTGCTGGCCTTTGAAAAGTTGAACTTATAGCAAGAAAAGAATTTTTCTCAGACATAAAATATCATATGTATCTTGTATTATTATAGCTGTTCTAGGGTTCATGCAGAGAGATATTCTGAGGAAGCAATCAGCTCATACCTCTATTAAGACTACTGCATCAGCTCAATAAATTCACACATTACAAGGACTGAYTGATGGGTACTCTTTCAGTAAATGGAATTACAGATGCTTGCACTCAAAAATGCTGTTCTTTGCAGTCCAGCTTCCTTTGAAACTAAAATGTATTGCCTGTGGATCTGGCACATCTACTGACTCTACCTTTTAACACAATTAAAGATGACTGTGTCCCATCACCATCAGTTAAACATCYTAAAGTAGGCAATTAGTGGCTCTAATGCGTCCTCACAAATACTTACAGGTGGTCCTCGGGGTCCTACAAAACCAGGGAGTCCTGGGCTGCCATTTTCTCCTTTATTTCCTTTTGGACCCTTAGAAMAAAAATGAAGAACATACTAGCAGCTCTTTCTCCAAAATCTCTTTYCCAGCACATGCATATACCAGGACTGCAAAATTTCACCGTAGCAGGAGGACTCCCCAAAATGACAAAGAACAGAAAAACAAAGTCATTTAGAAAAGCAGATTGCAGACATGTCTGCATTATTAATAAGCTGTGAGTCCCTGTGAAAAGATGAAAATGAAATGACAATTATGGAAGTGATTGGAGGTATGTTTGGTGGATAGTTCTTGTGCTGCACAGTTTATAAGGTGTCATCACAGCTAAGGAAAAACTGTAATGCACAAAGGGAAAACAGCCCGGACAGTCATAGTGTGTGAATCTGAGAATACAATTAACAGAGAAATAACTTTAGAATCGTTCTCTTGCCACTATTTAAACACACAATTTAAAAAAACATTCTCTGTACCTATCTTTTGTAAAATGCACACAATTTTTTTCTTTATTACAAATCCAGGCAGCTTAAATGGCAGCATAGGAAATAGATCCCTCTTCTGTTCATATTCTTGAAAACCTTTATTTTAAGCTTTTTTTTCCCACAATATTGTCCTCCATCTTGTAATTCAGCATGCAACACTTTCACATCTTCAAGTAAAACTTGTTTTCATTTCCAACTTGCCTGCTGTAAAGTGAGCCCCAGCAAATCTGATGAACACAAAGACTTGCAGGCACACAAGGACTCCAAGTCCCATGACGTTGCACAACCCAGAAAAGTTTGGATATATCAGGAGATGAGTTGCACTTCCATATGCAGATTTAAGTAGTATTATGAAGTGGCACTTTCACTGACAATGAGTTGAGTAAAAAAGAAGCTTTCTGGCAGTTAATACCAAGTGTCCTTGTGATTAAAATTCATCAGTAGTGAGGCAGTCCGTAAGATGGAAAAGAAATCTCTATTGCCACAACTGTCTCCTCTTTTTTTCAAAAGGAAATGTTATATATTGGTTGGTCACGCCATGGAATGCTGCCAGGAAAATTAGTGTATTTCCAGACAAGACTGCAAATAAACAGACTACTGTACAGAATAAAGAAGTACTCTTCATAATAACCTCTAAGAAGAGGAGAGAATTCATTTTAATGCCAGAGAAAAGTACCAATGTGCCACTGTCTGCTCTGCTGACCAGCATTGTCATTGTTTACTTTTCTTTCATCCATCTGACTTTATCCATTTCTCAATGTCTTATGCTATTTTTGGACTGTAAATCCTCTAAAGGAAAGGCTACCTTGGTTTTGAGTTGGTGCAGAGAGCTGCCTGATGAGTCTCCAAGCAACTAGATGACTGCCTAGGTAATGTGATAACACAGTGATTATTTTAAAAATTGCCTTCAGAGCCAAAGAAGCCCAGCAAAGAAGAGACATCAACCCCAGGAAGCCAATAAGTAGCAACAGAAGTTGAGAACAGAGCTGGGCATGGTAAGAAAAAAAAACAGGCTGAAAAGACAACAGCAGTGGCAGAAGGGCAGAAGCCACAACAGTGATCCCAGAAAGGTAGGCTGAAGCTGTCACCAAGAGTAGAAAGCAGCAGTATTGTTTCTTGGCTACAGAAAGGTCAGGAGACTCCATACAACCTACATGTTATCACCAACCCATGCAGAAAGGTGTTGCTTGCTTCTCTGCAACAGCTWAGGAGGACAGGTATGTGTAGCAAGGCAAAATGTTGCCTATGGTACAAGCCCACCATTAGGCTRAGTTTGCTTCATGGTGATGCAAGTGTGATGCAAAGAATGAGCCCCACTGCAGTTTTTCATACTCTTCCTCCTTTGCTTTTGTCTCTGTTTGAATATAATACTCCAGTGAGCTGTAATATCTGGGTAAGCAAAGAGAGGGCAAAAGGGTAAAGCTCAGGGATTTGATAGGTACTACTGAACACTGAGGTTCATGACCTTCTTGACTGTCCTCCTTACAGATTTTCATTACTATGCTGCTCTTCTACACAGGATGGACCCTGGGGGATTTGTTCTGCTCAGTGATCTTGGTTTACTGCCCATTGCCTGCTCTCTACCAAAACACCTGGGAAGGATTTCTCTACTGCTGCTATTCCTCAGTGGCAGTCTGCCAACACCCCAAGGCCCTCTCCTTCCTTCTGACAGCTCTCTGCTGGTTGCAACAGTCTCTGCTTCACAAAATTAAATCCACTCATAAAGAAGAGGCATGCCAATCTTTCCTTCACATGAGGTAATCAATCATTTCCTCTCTGTGAACACTTAGTGTTTGCTGGTAAAAATGATGAGCCAACTAGCATATGAACTCCAGAAACATACCCCGCGGCTCCCTCATTTTGTGGCCAGGAAATATCTTGCAAGTCACTAGCCCCTATCTTCAGACGGCAACTTGAGGTACTGCGAACACCTACAAAATCCTCTCCTCCTATACTTCATCAGTCACCTCTCCTTGACACAACTGCTTGCTGCATGAGTGTCCTTCTGTGGTACTTACTGGGTTACCAGCAGGGCCAGGCTCTCCCACAGGGCCAGGCAATCCATTCTTGCCCTAGGTCAAAAGAAAACAAGATAAGTAGTGAAGCAGAATACACTATAATGAAAGATACCCACTTGCTCTACAATAGAGGGGATTTCTTCAGCACTGTTCAGCCTCCTCTCCTCTTGGTAGACTATAGAGCTAAGATCTCTTATTCTACACTTACCCCGTAACTTTTGCATCCCTGATTGCATGGCTGACCCCACCTTTGGACAAAAGCCGAGAGATCTAGATCCCTTAATCTGATGAGGATGTGAAAACTGAGCATGCCTTCTCCTCAGCCCTATCATATAAAAGATTCTCCTGCATAGGTGGAGGTACCTGCTATGCAGCCACAGATCCTGAGTGTTCAGACAATTATCTCGCCCATTTTGAAGCCTCTTTTGGCAACTCTTAGATCAGTGTAAAAGTGCGCTGCACTCACTGACAGATATCTCAAGATCTCTCCACTTCTTCTTCCTCCTCCTTGAGTCAGTATTTTGTTCTGAGTTTGCAAAACATTCTGGACTCTTTTGCTAGCTTTTCTTCCCAAGAAGAAATCATTCTTACTACAACATATTAAAGATGCACTCATGCTCAGYAATTGAGACTTGCATTCAAATTTGGAAAAGTGTTCACTTTTTGAGAGAGAATTAAAAAGCCAGAAAACAGTGATTTCTCARTCATCCCAAATAGCAATTCCTGAAATGTAAAATAAATAGCCATTTCTCCACTTGAGATGTAATAAAACTCTACAGGTGTTCAATTAAAAAAAAAAAGTGAAAAAAAACTTCTCCTAAAATTAAGCTTTTCTGTAGAATAAAAATYGGAAAGCATGATAAAAACGATTGTTCGCTTTTAAATATTATAATTGGACCCTAAATATCTCAAACTGGGCATCTGCAATTAGCGCCTACTTTTGAAAACCACATCCAGAGGCCATATGAGAAGTAAACAAAATGTCAGAGGTAGGACTGGAATATGAGCACTTCTGACACTCTAGGTCTGGTAGAACCCATTGCACATCTTCCCCATTCCCAAATCAGTAGTCATCACTATTTGGCACACCTATTTGTTCACACTAATACTTATCAATATCCTGCTATTTTTCCCAAATTAAATGGGAAAAAAATAAAAAATAAAAATAAATATCAAACACCATCAGAATCTTGTATACTTTTTTTTTTTTCCAAATACAGGCAGATTATAGGATATTTTCACTATAGACAACATATTCTTCAAAACCTTCTTGTTGAAAGAAAAAACTCACCGGCGGCCCTCTGAGTCCTCGAGGACCCTGTGGTCCTACAGGACCAGTATCACCCTGAAAGGAAGAAAAGTATTGAGTGAAGAAGATTTGACAAAACRGCAATTGTTCTGTTAAATTATTCTGCTCATATATTAAAGAAAATAGCATTAAAGAAAAGTCTCACTCCTCCTAGTTATGCAAGATGAAGACCAGCCTCTCTTTGAGTTTGCTCTCTCTTGAACCAGGCTTCAGATTCGCTTCTACCTTTTATGGGTGGTTCTCTAGGTCTATCCTCAACGTTACCATTTGCAGCATAACATTCTTCCAGTGACACAAATAAGATACCCCTCCCTAGGTCCGATGGCCATGGCATGGCAGCCACTTGGTGTATTGCTCAGCAGTTACTGCAGGATCCTGTCCAGTTCATGGTCTCTAGGGACTTTGCTTCATGACTGCATATAAAATGAATAATGTCAAAGGATCTGTTTATACTGTCTTTCTTTCCTCCGAGCAGCAGCGTCTTATTCCACAGGTATTTCTCAGGTTTCAGTGGAGTGATTTGTGCGGTAAGGCACAGCTCTTGTAGAGGAAGTGTGACAGAATGAGACCCGTTGAGACTCTGCTGAATGAAGCATGGCTCAGAGAGGTGTGTGGCAGAGAGCAGGTCCACCACCATGCAGCACAGACTGCGATTCAAACAATACAGTTTTCCCCCTTTTCCAAAGATATAGCTGACATTTACRTGCCAGCTGCTGAGCAGTGAAAAAAGCCCTCTAATTCCTTGTTACCATAATGAATTATGCACAAATAATTCCCTGTGCATTCTTGCAACAATTACCCTTTATTACAGTTTCTGCATTTTTGGGGGCATTTTGTGAATGAAACATTGGGGAACATTGCAAATGAAAATTTTCATTGTCAGAGAGCAGGGGATTAATTTCTGCTCAAAGTGGTATACTTACATCTTTCCCTGGTGGCCCTTCACGCCCAGCAGGACCTGTCGCACCTGGTTCCCCCTGCAATTCAGCAAGAAGAAAGGAGAAATCAACTCAAGGTCAATGACAGACCAGTAACATCACTGCAAATAGTCTGGGGCTTCAGCTCATAATTCTGTGGAGGTGTGAAGCCTTTTTAAAGCCAACGGGAGCCTCGTACATCAGACAGGATACATGGCTTATAAAAATAACTCAGAAACATCTTCTGCAAGTGATGCACAAGGTACTGCACTGCTTTACAGCAGTATATTAGCTACTGCTATAGCAGTGATTGAAAATCACCAGTGTACTCATGATGCAGAAGCTATTTGAATGAGAAAGAGATGAGCAAATCCAGCACTGGATTTCTCAGCTAAGCTCCTGCAAATGGAACATTTTCTTTCCCTGTGGAAAAACAGAATTAGGCAGAAAGACATTCAATTCTGTATTCTACTTCTTATATCAAGGAGTCTTTTGTGCTGCATTGCAGACACAGGACTACAAGAAGCCCAGCATTTCATGCAGAACTTGAGTTTTRTGATTTATGACTCACAGGCAACTCAGCCATGGTCTTAGATGCATTTCCATCTCTTTTCTGTATGTCTTGTTTCTGAACACTCTCTGTATTACCCAAGACTTTTTCTGGAGATCTGATCACTGGCGCTACAAGTGCAGAAGGGTTCCTCACCTTGCCCTTCAGCAGCTGTACCAGTGGGAGGTTGTACACACATGTTTTTACAAAGGACTATCTCAAAGTGTGCATCAAAGAAATCAGATGTACCAGTTGCCTCGCCTTACCTGGAAGCAGAACTTTAGGAGAGTGAAGGAAGATGGCTGCTGTGATTTTACGCAGCGCATGGAGTTGTGGTTGAAAACAGCAGTGTCAAACACAGGTCTGTCATTTTTTTTCTACATCTTCGAAAAGACTTTAGCATCAGCTGTTTAATCAACATAGTATTTCTCTAAAATACCATCCTGTGTGCATAAAGGGCATGGTACTTACCTGGGGACCTGGGGGACCTGTATCTCCTCTTTGTCCTTTGAAACCCTATAAAAGAGAATGAAATCAATGATCCCCCATTATCCCAATCCATGAAGCATTCAGAAAGCTTCAGCTTTAATGTGCAGTTAATAACTTTCTAATTTTGCCTAAAATTACTAGGAAYTGGTCACCATGGAGCTGTCATGTCCCAGGGAGTGATAAGGAAGGGCTATGTTACAGGCACATGATGGACTGTTCCATAACTCCATAGGCTACAAGACCATAGTGTGTATACGTTCCTGCTGTGAACAGCCCATAGATCACTTGGCCCTAGATTTCACTGCCTCTGATCTTTCTGAGAATACATAACAAAATACATGAATTACAGCTCTGACCTTCTGGTAAAAGAGGGTGTCACATGTTTTGTGCTTTAACATAAGGTAAATGCCTTACTCTGCTCCAGGTCAGCCTTATTGCGAAGAACCTGAAAATCCCTCTGTGTTTTTACATGTTATTTATGTATACACTCACAATAGCATCGCTATTTTCAGTCAAGACAATTCTTTGGTTATACATAAAAATCAGTAAAGGAATCCATCTGCCCAACAGAAGTTTCCAGGCCAAWGATACAAAAGAGTTTCTGCATTGATTCTGTTAGAACAGTAGAACAGCTCCTACCGGTAAACCTCTGGCACCCTCCTGGCCAGGAAGTCCTGGTTCTCCAGGCTTTCCCTACAAGAAAAGGAAAACAAAATAAACGTATAAACAGGAAACAGGAGTTTGATGCATAAAATTCTTTTCACTCTTCCTCCTTATATATAGTATATTTATACTGAGAACTATAATTGCCAAAAGTTTCTTCAGCAATGCCTGTGTCTGAGCATGCAATACAGACATACTCATGGGTACCTCTACTAATACTACTAGGAACACAGTCTTTGAAGTTCAAAGAGCGCTTGTGTCTTTGGACTCGCAGCTCCACATACTGGTTTCCCTAATGATTGGGGACCTGACTTTTACAAACCCACCAACTCTTATGCTATGGTTTGACAAATCACATAAAAAGTTGGCAAAGCAAGATTCCTGAAGTGCATTCTTACTGTAATAAATACAGTTGCAAGGAATTCTATTTCATGCCCATTTATTAGCACTTCTCTTCAACTAGGCAACTTCATGATTCAGGCTTTTCATTCCACAAATGTGAGTATAGACTAAATAGAGAAAATCAAATATAAAACACTTGATCCTGGATAACAAAACAGTTATAGAGCATCCCAGGAATGGCTTCTTTGAAGACACTCGCCCTACATTTTTTTTTTAATCTCACAGTCCCATAGTCTTTTGTCAAAAAATGGATTAAGGGTTTAGTAGTACAAAACAACCTTCTGTCTCTGCAATATTTACGGTAGCTGTAAAATGGAATCACTAGCTTTTAGAGTATTTACGGTAGCTGTAAAAATTGAATCACTAGGGTTTAGAATATTTATGGTAGCTGTAAAAGCAAATAACAGTTTTCTCTCAAGATTGCTAGTGTGCGAATCTTATAAAATGCTGAAGACAATACAGTCCTTCTGATGCTAAAAAAAAAAAAAAAAAAGACATGCAAACAGACTTCTGGACCCCTAAGGAGTCCATAGATAGGCAGCTCCAAAAGCAATAACTGCATGCAAGCTCTGAATGCCTGAGTGAAACAGCTTTAAATTTCATTACCGGTTCCCCAAGAGATCCCGGCTTGCCATCTTTGCCGTCATTTCCAGCAATGCCCTGTAAATGAAACGCAAAACAAGGTATAAGGATGGAGGCTATAAGAAGGATCAGAATGTTTTGTCAATGTGAAATCYTACAATCTTACAATGACACCTCTGCTTCATCATGAGATACTTGAGTTTGAGTAGACCTCAGAAAACTCCATTATTTCTACAGCTCAGCCATAAACCTCTCCTTGGCACACTATTGCACTAGCACAAACTGCCTCCTATATGATACGTCTAAGGGGTACCTTCTTTTCAGCAAGGCAAGTACTCCAAAAGACTATAAAGATAGGATCCTTAAAAACATATTCTTAGTTGACATAATTCATTCTAATACCATTGAGCTAGACTGCTTTACAGCAGAAATAGCTCTGGCCTTTTCCCCTTAAGTTAAAAAAAAAATGTAGTAACAAGAAAAATCAGATTCTATGGCCAAGACACACTTCATCTTGACTCAACGCAAAGGAACTATTTCAACAGTGGTTTCTTCTTCAGACAAACAATATTTCCACCTAAGAGTTCCTGTGCCCTTACACTGGGAGCTATTATATCAGGGTACCTTGGCAGGTTGGAGAAATGGGCAGAAAAGAATTACATTAAGTTCTCCAAAAGAAAGTGCAGAGCTCTGCAGCTGGGGAGGAATAGCCTCATGCGCCAGTATAGCCTAAGGGCTAAGCAGTTGGAAAGCTGCTTTCCAGAGAAGGATTTGGGGCTACTGGTGGACACCATATTGAACAGGAGCCCCTGTGGCAAAGAAGGCCAACAATAGCCTCAGTTGCATTCAAAGAACATTTCTGCCAGTTCAAGGGTGGTGATCCTTTCCCTCTATTCAGCATTGAGGAGACATCTTCAAAAGAGGATGTACAAAGAGACATGGACACTGTGAACTAAGTCTCATGAGGAAAAGCTATGATTGTTCATCCTGAGGGAAAAAAAAAAAAGGCTCATGAGAATCTTATCAATGTATATAAATCTAATGGGACGTTGKGAAGAGTGCAGGGGCCTGGCTCCTCACAGGATGAGAGGGAACAGGAACAAACTGAAACACAGGAAATTTTCTTTGAACATAGAAAACACTTAATCATTGTGAAGGTGGTTGAATATTGGAGTATGGTTCCCAAAGAGATTGCAAAATCTCTGTCTTTGGAGATATTCAAAATCTGTCTAGATACGGTCCTGGACAAAATGCTAATGGTGACTTTCCTTAAGCAGGTGGTTTGGACCAGAGGATCTCCAGAGGTTCTTTGCCAAACCAAACAATTTCATGTTATTTGAYGTATTATTTGACTTCTGTGCTGTACATGAAAGCTTCTCTGCCAAAGAATGAGGAAACAGATGAGGAACAGAACATATTTAATATTGATAGTTAATACTTAGCTTTCAAGTGGTCAAACACAGCATTTATGCAGATCTAGACAACACAGCAGTGTGAACATTACAGATACTATCAYACACATCTTTCAAAGCACCTTCAAATTTCACCTCCTTGATTGCCTACATGTTCATAAAATGTTTACTATATTTAATGAAAAGAAGTTGACTTGCACTCACTGGAAGTCCAGGCACACCTGGTGGTCCCTGTGGACCTGGAGGGCCATCTTTACCCTGAAAAGAAATCAGAAACATGAGTCAGACAAGTTCTTCATATACTTCTATCAGATGACATTTTAGCAAATTTAGTATTCAGCAAGAGAGAAAACTGTGAGAATCATATCTTGCACCACACATCACACAGTGCACAAGACTTCCCTGAATTCATGCATATTTGAACTGGAGATCTTTCTTTTTACATGAACCATCCAATATTAGTTATAAGCTCTCTTAAATGCAGAARCTACTAAAATCACTGTGAAGCTTTCTCTAAAGTTTAATTATCTTTAATACAGGGTGCTTAATTTCTTCCATTAAGATGTCTAGCCAGGAAATAGAAATTCTGTATTTTATAAATATTGAATCAAAGATTATGAGAAATACATAGCTGACACTGCTAAGGAAGAAATCCACTCTTATTCTCCAGAATACAACAATAGTATCCACGGTCTATCACACTATTCCAATCTTGATCACTTTTTCAAACGTTCACCTGATCATTTGAAAAGGAAGTTCACTCAGACTGCAGCATCTCTGCTGAAAATGCTCATTGATTTCACAGGAGCCACCAGAAGGACCATTGCTGGYCATTGTTACTGAAGCTTAGATTTAAATGAATGAGCGAAAGATGCCTACTCATTAAGCACCTTTTGCTAGAGGTGTAGTAGAAATTAATCACACAATTAAACAGCTCCAAACCATTCCATCTCCACAGCATGCATTACTCTATGATTGTTCATCTTTTCCCCTTCAAATTATCAATCAGATTCTGACCATATTACCTGTCCCTTTCAGGGTTTTCTGATGCATTACCATAAAATAACATCCAAACAACTTTCAAATAAAATAGCTGTATAAAATTCTTCATAGATTTCTTCAGGGTTACATCTATACTGATATTTTCCATGGTGCCAGGCAATGTTTTCAGATGGTGGAATTTGGTCAGTTTGTGCTATGACATCCTTCAAAAGGTCTCAAGTAGGGCTTTGACAATCCCTATGCACAGTTCATGTGTCAGCCTGGATCATGAAGCATCCTAACAGACCTTTCAGATGCAACCATCTTGCTCTAGAAACTAAGAACTTTGTTATTAAAGGCCATGAACTTGTCCTTACTGCCAAGAGAAAAATCTGAGGCATCTTTAATGCACTAATACAYATGCAGGCAGCCTCTTCTCCCAGTTACAGACTGTCAATCTGCAATGATCTAACAAATGGTGAGCATGTGTTCTGATTTGTTGCTGCAGGCAATTTACCGGATGGAAAAGAAGTACAAAAGGCTCTTTAGAGAGCAGGCCTAGGATGTTCAGAAGAGGTCTCACAAACTTGATTTAGTTCTGGCTAATTTGGAGTTCCTTTGTGTGAGTAAATGCAGCTGTAAGAACAGAGTAACCTGCAGTTATTTGTGAGTGTGCAGGTGTGGAATTGCTTCAGGATGAATAATGTTGGAAGCCTTCACACAATATGACAATGGTTCCAGTTCATCTCTGCAGAAGTAAAGCTAGTTAAAGGTAGTGGTTGAACACATAACCTATAGCTTACTATATCTCCTGGATTTCCTGCTGGTCCAATTGATCCAGGAGCCCCATCTGGTCCCTAAATAAAATAAAGCAGAAACAATGCAAGTGATTGATATATTTTGTACATTTGTCAATGCTCTCACTGCCACAGATGGCAGCACTAAAGTTTTCCCTCATTTACTCATTTTAGCATTCATTTCTTCATTCATCACAGAAAAGCAGTGACAATCTCTGCATACAATCAGTCTCCAAAGCCAGAAAACGGCAAATATTGGAGTGTGGCCCTGGCCCTCCCTTCTGAAAATAGATGATTAGGGAAAAAACAATCTTGTCACAAAAATAACTCTGAAGAACTGACAGAAAGAAAGAAATGACTGAAGAAATGWCAGGAGCAGTTTGAACCATATTCTGTGGAAGGCAAAATTCTGGAATCATGAGTCAATGCAGATAGAGGGAAAAGCCACAGCAAAAGCTGCAGAGARAAAAAATATCTAAAGGAATATGGCATTTTGCTCTCTTTTGTCAGGATCCATTTTGAGCATTTCCTTTCAACATGAAGACATTCAGAGGTTCTCACAGGATATTTTTAAGGGTGTTTAATCCTCCTGGAATAACAGTATGACTGTGATAATAGACCTGTTTGTATTGCCATTTTCTCCTAAAACAACAACTCTCAAGAAAAGATTAGAGGAAAGCAAATGACCCACAAAGCAGGTCTGAGTGTCGTCCTAGTAGCAAAACATTCAACAGTCTTTAGACTCTGCTACCATCTGAAAACATAATTTTTTATTCAAACCTCTTTTTTGATACCTCCTATTGCTTAGTCAGTGTAATGCAAATTCTGTTCTGAAGAGATTGTGCTGATCCCCAGAAGAGATGAAGGGTGTGAACCCACAGAAGAACAGAGCCAAACTGCACTGGAAGCTGGAGTTTAAATAGTGATGGCTGTGGACAAAGGAGACTTGAAAAGCCTTTCATTAAGAAAAAGTCACAGCTCTTGGAGGGTGTAAGTGGTGATACCRCGGGCAGGAAAGCCACTTATTTTAACCTTGCTTCTACAATATCTCATACTACTGTATATTAACCGAGAACTAAGAAACACAGTTATATCTGCCAGTTCCACACTGATTACTTATTTTGGATAACGAAACACCTATATACATGCTACAAAGAAGTCTCTGTGGAAGGGGTTTCATAATCATTGTCTTTTATACAGAGATACACTGAAACAGCATCAATTTACAGAGTGAGATGAAGCATTAAATGCAAAGTGGCTGATGTATTAAATATCAATTACTATGAGTGGAAAATTCTATGACACTCACAGGACCATTAGGAACTCACTGAAAAATGCAAAGGCAAGAAGATACAGACAGGTGGGAATGACCCTTCCTACCATGTGGGCTTTGCAATAACCTTTATTAGTAAGGAAAATACAGGAGCGCCTGCTTTGTAACAGAGGAACTTACAGGTGGACCAGGATTTCCAGGAAGTCCTGCAAAGCCTGGCATTCCAGGATGACCCTGAAAAACGAACCCATATWTTTTTTATGCATTATTCACCTCTTTACTAGAGCTAAGATTGTGTGGTAACATCAAAATAAGACAATAGACAGATAGCTTATTATAAAGCAATAAGATACTATAGATTTTTAAAGCAAAGACTTGATTTTGAAAGCATGCATTTTACAACATTTTCTACTGTGTATCCTGTATGCTAACAGGAGCTGAGAACATTGTGAATTATATAAGGTAGGAGATTAGGGAGGAAAACAGAAGCTGTTTAAAATATCTTAAAAATCTCATTGCAGATACTGACTTGCACTCCAAATTATTGGCTTTGCCCTTGACACAATTAAGTGCAAAATTTTACTCCGATTTAGACAGTCCTTCTCCTTTTGGGATCTCGGTTCCTCCTAAARCAGACCCTCCTTGCACCCATCTTCCAGGATTAATAAAAACAATAGCCTTTCCCATTAAAGATTCATCTCCTGGTTCTCATCTACACATTAACTGGGGAAATGAGTCCAGACTGGGTAAGGTAGAGAACTGAATGCATTCAATCCAGAAATAAGGAAGCATCATCTGGAACTCCCCCAACACAACACAGAGATGGGTCTTGCAGGAAATGGAGAGCCTGAGGAGCAGTGTTATATTCCCATCTAGATGGGTATCTGAGGTCCAGAAACAGTGAAGAGCTCCCACTTTCCTGCTCTGTCTCTGGAAATGGGACTCCTACTAACACCATGGCAGTTTCTCATGAGGAACTGCAGTTGCTGCACTGTTGGAACATGCAATCTTCACCTGCTCTCCTTTTTCTCCCACATCTCCAGTTGCACCACGGTCTCCTTTAACACCCTGGTAAGAACAACAACAAMAAAAAAATCCATTGAATGTCACATATATTCAGTATTGTATCACACTTTTAACCATCTTGTAAGTGCTCGSACACTTGAGTGTCTAATACAAAAGTCAAGGACTGAATTCTGCTTGCCCTTCTCAAATTCTTCCCTAGACTTTCACTGATGAATTTAGAGCCCAGATACATGGAAAAAATGGTCTTTGATCATATCCAGGATACAATTTTGGGGGAGGGAGAGGTGCGTATTTTTGCTTGTTTGTTTCTTTTAATATTGTAGTCTTCTGAACATGAAGGGGACCTACAAATCCTTAAAAATGGATAAAAAAGACTCTTAGGCATTGAACTAAATGGGTCTCCTTATTAAGGAATTATCCAGACTAGAGCAGATAYACATTATATTATAGAGGGAGCTAGTAATACCCTCTCCCCTTGAGGGACAACAAAGGCATTTCAAGGTTTGGTCATGAAATTCATACCAAGAAAGTGTCCTTCTCTCCCTCTCTCTACTAGCAGCAATAGAGATAGAGACAACTAACCAGTATGTAGATGTTCGTATTCAATTTAGGAAA